AAAATTGCCAACAATGTAGATCAGCATAATGTTCTCTTTGGCTGTTGCCCAACAGTCACCCCTTAAGAGTGTGTATTGCTCTGCAACGGTCCCTTTGGCCACAGTCCACTCTCACCCCTTGAGAGGGCTCTAGTTTTCTCTGTAATAAACTCCACCTATCTTCACGCTATACTCTGTGACTTCTCTGAATTATTTTAATGGAGGTGCCCAGGACCAGAAAGCCATAGGGAATTAGAGAGAGATCCCCAGTGATGAAATGTTTAAAGGCTTAAGAGCTAATAGCCACATAATAACACACATTTGCTACTTAGGAATGTATCATTTATTTCTGAGACTCTCACATGCATTCACAAGAGCCACAGCTGCAACATGCCCTATCCTCACATGAGCCTGCAGAGCGTCTTGAGATAGATGCTTTACAGCTGTTGTTAACTACAGTGAGAAGACAATGCCAGTGTCAAATGTGCTGAGCATGCTGAAGATGACTCAAAGCTTTGAAGTAACTATTATGCAGCAATAGATAATGGGTACAGATTTTATTTCAGTGGTTCTCTTCCATAATAAAACTCTAAACTTGCAATGGTTTTGGACTTGGGCACAAGGAAGAAGCTAGCAGGACATTGAGGTGCATGCTAGTGAAAAAACTGGAACCTTTAAGAAAATACAGGTCAGACCGGAATGTTCTTTGAGATAGCTATAGGGGAGGGCTTAGAGAGAAAATGTTATTGGACACTAGAAGTGGTGTTTGTTATATAGAGACAGAAGCTTAGTGACACTGTCATCTGCAGTGATGTGGAAAATAGGAAGTGTGCCAAATCAATTGGCTATTGTAGCTGAAGTCATTTCCTGGTATAGTGTTGAAGGTACTGCCTGACATCTTTACAAAAGTAAAAGAAAAGAGCTGATCTGAAGGAAGAACTCTTTCTAGTTAATATATATATATATATAGAAAATCTCCAGCTAAAGGTGGCAAATAATGCTAAAATAAATAAGTGGTTTCCAGACAAAGACAAACTCCAGGATGTTGCAAACATCACTGATGTGGTGAGAGTATGCTGTACAATCCTTTATTTAGAACTCAAAACTGCCCATAGCAGGGATTCAGAGAATCACTCAGACAAAAACAGGGCCTCAAAGTTGCCCCAGGGTGTGCGCCTCAGAGCTTCAGCAGAGGGATAGTCTCAGTAGAGATGGGGTTGTCCTGAAAAGATTTGTAGGTATGAATTTTGTGTAACTGAATTATACTTATAGGAGACTTACTTTTAAAAATATTATAAGCAAGGCTGGAGAAAGGAAACTTAAAGTGGAATTTGGACCTCCTGGATTCTACTGTTCAAAATCAAAGTGACAATACTACACAGTTTCAAACATGTATTACTTTTTTAAAAAAATATTTATTTTATTTATGAGTGCTCTATATGCATGTACACCATGGTTGTGAGTCACCATGTGGTTGCTGGGAATTAAACTAAGGACCTCTGGGAGAGCAGCCAGTGCTCTTAATCTCTGAGCCATCTCTCCAGCCCCTCAAACATGTATTGCTTTAAATGGAAAAGGAATTAAGAATACAACAGGTGAACTCAAGAATTGTAGAAAGAAATTCCAACATGTATGCAACTGGGCTTAAGGATCCTGATGGACCAGTAGCCATTCAGATTCCTATCTTGCATTGGGACAGACTGTAATCCAGTTCTACCTAGCTTATCCCACCATTGTATCTGGGGTGGGGGTGGGGGCTGGGCAATACTGGTGTTAAGATGAATAGGAGTTATGAGAAGCTTAATTTAAAACCCTAAACCTGGGAGATTTATTCACATCTGCAGTCAGATGTTTAGATGATATGATTCTGGAGTGAAGTGTCATGGGAAGGGATGTCTACTGTGGAAAAAAACATGATAAAGTTTACTTTTGAGAGATACATAGATCTCTAGAGATCAAAAGGAAGACAATTGCCTCCAAGAAGCTCCCCCAAATTCAAGTCTTTAGGTATTTATAATCTTGGTCAGTTTCTTCCCACATTGGACAGAACAATATTATATCTGTGACCAATAATCTAAGTTGGAAATAATAATGGCTCAGGTCATAAAAGATATTCTGTCTTCTACCATGTTCTCTCTTGCTTTGGGGAAATTCAGCTTTCTTAACAGGACTGTCAAACTGTCCTATAAAAAGTAGTGTGGCCTCCTCTCAACGGTCATGAGAGAGAGAAATCACTTGCAAGCAAATATGGTATTTGTAAGGTTAGCCTTTAAATGCCTATAGTACTGACCATGTCCTTGCTTACATTTCTAAGCCTGAGCCACACACAGTTAAGCTACTCATGGATTCCTTACTCATGGAAATTAAATGAGACAACAGATGTCTGTTATCTCAAGGTTAGATTTTAAGGTAATTTTCAGCACAGTAATAGATTAGTATAACAAGGCTATCTCAAGATGTTCCCAAAGACTACTATGCTTACAGAACTGGATGGTTCTACTTCCACTGGAGAGGAGAGAAGCTCATCTACTGAACCCACTAGCCAGGTCACCAGAACTTTACAAAGCCTCTTTTAATGCTTCATTTACTTCTGCCTCTAAGACTGTCTCCACAGAAGGTTCAAAGTAGAATTGTCAAGTATCATATTGTGTTTTGTTAGGTTGAAATTAAGATGCAACAGTAATAATGATAACAACATCTTGTTACTTCCTCTTGCCAAAGACTCTGGAACCCATAAATATTTTTTTGGGGGGGGTATGGGGTGTTGTATTAGGTATTGAACCTAGGGCCTCTTGCATGCTAGGTAAGTATTCTACCACTGAGCTACACTGTCTACAATTTTTCCTAATTGTTTTGAGACAGTGTCTTATTTCATTGTCCAGGTAGGCCTCAAATATGCAATTCTCCTGCCCCAGCAGTCCAGGTAGCTGGAACCAAAAGTGTATGCCAACATGAAGTCAAGAATACTTTTTAAAATGTATTTTCATTTCAAAGATTCTGTAAATACAATGCCATTGTGTTCCTAAAGCCTAAGCAGCTTTGTTTTCAGCCAGGGGGAAGGAAATGGAAATAAGCAACAAACACTACTCACAGATCTACTAATGCTGAAGCTTGAGTTGGCATTGGTCAATTTCTTTTTCCAGAACGGTGTATCTATCTTTGTTATGAATGAAGACATAGAAGAAATTTCCAGAGAAATGAATTGAAGGAGACTAGAAATATGCACAGAATTTAATTGAATTGGAACAAAACAAATCTATTTTCCAACATTCTACAGAATTATTCTGAGGTTTAGAACAAGCAAACAAAAACAATATATCAAAACATTCTAACAATATATATTTAACAACAGCTGCACAGAGACTAAACACATTATCTCAAGGGACATCAAACATTATTTAAAGTGTTTATTAGCCTACACCCCTTGATGTTTTTGTGGAGATCTGGAAATCCTAGTTCTCTTATCTAAAGAAAACAGAGGCCATCTCTCTCTTTCTCTTTCCCATCCTGACCTCACTCCTTTCAAAGATAGGATCTATATAGCCCTGACTGTGCTAGAACCCCTATGTAGCCTGTCCTGGAACCCCTATATAGCCAATGCTAACTTCAAACTCAGAGACCTCCTGGTTTTTGATTCCCAAGTGTTGGGATAAAAAGCATGAATCACATGCCCAGCTACCTTCCATTCTTCTAACCCACTCCTCCTCTGCCCAACTAGATCACAATATCCCTTTTCCTCTCTCAAACTTTTTTTTTTTTTTTTTTTTTTTCCTGTTACTGTAGAGACAATCAGAGAGGGTAGAGATGGGGATGCCTACATTACCGGCAGCCCGCCAAAAATGTCTTAACTGTTTAAGATAAGGAGTAATCTTCAAAGGGTCATTGCTAGCATTAACTACAATTTATGCTAAAAACGATAAAGTTTAGTAATCACTACGGTGTAGAGTCCTTTACATTTAATCCCCGGATTCCTATGAGGTGGATATTATCATTATTTCTGCTTTATATAGTTTCTGTTTGTTTCTTTTTAAAGTGGAAATACAGGTGAATAAATTTGTCCATGATTACGATGATTACGAAATTAAGTGGTGGCCTTAGGATTTAGGGACTTTTTTTTTTTTGTAAATAAAGTACTATAACATGCTTTGAAAACACCACATATAGCATATAGATCCAGCATAGTAACAGGCTCTTTCCATTCTCTTGCAGCCTAGCCTCAATTTAGAGGGACCCCTTAGTAACTGGAACCTCACTTCATAAATATGGTCTTCCTGCACCCCCTCTCACCTGCCACCCAGAGATTCTGAGCCCCTAGGAGGCTGGAATGCAAATAGACTCTGCAAACAACAAAACGCTTAGTATTGCTTTGGATCGAAAATGTTGCCTGTTCGCTCAGCCTGACTCTGAGGGAGCCTAGTAGAACAAACAACAGGCCTTTTGGGGGCCTTGTAGCAATCCCAGGAGGGCAGGTTCAGGCTGATAAAGAGCCCTGGGCCTGGGCCCCTTGAAGAATCCTAGGACTGTAATGGGGCGGGGACAGAAAGACACTAGAGTGACCTAAGTCCGCAGAGACCTCAGGCTAGTGGTTTTCGGTCAGGTTGACACCTCCAGGGAGGGCGTGGGGAAGGCGGGGCTCGTCGCCTGCTGCTCGGTGGGGGAGAGACTGCGTAGGAGCTTCTCCTTCCGGGGGGGATGCTCAGCCCCGCGGGAAAAGGCAGAAAAGGGCGCTTGCCGCTTTAAGTGACTCAGGAAGTGAAAGGAGGCCGCTGACGGCGAGGGGAAAGTGGAACCGGGGCGGCGCGGGCCCGCGGCGGCCGCGATCTTGCCGGGCAACGGAGGCTGAGCTGTGCGGCGCGGGGGCCGACGGGGCGCGGGCAGCCGAGCCGGAAGTGGTGCGTGAGGGACGAGGCGCAGCGCAGCGCGCGGAGAGGCCGAGTGGGCGCCAGGCCCAGTGCTGTCGGCTGGCGGGCCCCAAGGCCTCAGCTGTCCTGACGGACGCGGCGCGGCCCAGCGGGGCGGACGGTCAGTCCCTGGGGGAGGCGGGCCTGGGTGAGGAGGCCCCGCGGTGAAGGCGGAGAGCTCGTAAGCCGCTAGGCCTCGGCCGCGTCCCTGCAGCCACATGGCCTCCGGAGTGGGCGCGGCCTGCGAGGAGCTGCCTCCCGACGGCACGTGTGACGAGTGCGAGCCCGACGAGGCGCCCGGGGCGGAGGAGGTGTGCCGCGATTGCGGCTTCTGCTACTGCCGCCGCCACGCCGACGCGCACCGCCAGAAGTTCCTCAGCCACCGCCTGGCCGAGTACGTCCATGGCGCCCAGGCCTGGACCCCGCCAGCCCGCGAGGACGACGTGGTCCCCGAAGACGTCGAGGCCAAAGGGGAGCCCGAGGGAGAGGTAGAGAGCGAGGTGGGCGAAGAAGAGAGCGAGACGGAGGAAGACAGTGGGTCGGAAGAAGAGAGCGAGACCGAGGAAGACAGCGAGGATGAGAGTGATGAGGAGAGCGAGGAAGACAGCGAGGAAGAGATGGAGGACGAGCAGGAAAGCGAGGCGGAGGAAGACAACCAAGAAGGAGAATCCGAGGCAGAAGGAGAAACCGAGGCAGAAAGCGAATTCGACCCCGAAATAGAGATGGAAGCGGAGAGAGTGGCCAAGAGGAAGTGTCCGGACCATGGGCTGGATTTGAGCACCTATTGCCAGGAAGACAGGCAGCTCATCTGTGTCCTGTGCCCAGTCATTGGGGCTCACCGGGGCCACCAGCTCGCCACGCTAGATGAGGCCTTCGAAGAACTGAGAGTGAGTATTGGGCATTCAGAACATAAGTCTGAGGGTACCAGGAATTCCTCCCCCTCCCCCCCCCCCCCCGTGCCAACTCAGGGTAGCTGTGACCACATTCATTTTCATGAATGTGAAAAAAAGTCACCTATTTTACCATTTTGGTTGAGATTGCCAAATTGTCGATTCTCACCTGAGAAAATACAAGTACACAGAAAATCTTGGGTATAATTTCAGAGAATTTGCAAATCACTTCTCCCTGGAATCCCAGATAGAGCATTTCTTGAGAATTTTGACACCAATTAGGCCAATTTTCACATCATCACCATTGTTAGGATCAGTGTTTTGACTTAAGGATCTTGCCATGGAAACCCTGCCTGCCCACCTGAAAGTGTGAGAAACCATGATTTTTTTACAAAACCAAGTGGTGATATAGACAATAACTTGGTGTGTGCCCTGAGTTGCCCTTTAGGAAGTTGTATACGGGAAGGCTAAATTGATGGCGTGGATGGAGGTTTTCATGTCTACTGTCTAGACTGTCTCTTGGACCTGTTTTGTTTTTGTTTTTGTTTTGTTTTTTGGTCAGCAGTAGACATTTAGTAAATATTTATTGACTGCATTTGGGTTGCCTTTTATGTATACAGTGGATGGCTGTGTCAATAAGAGAACAGTTTTTCTGTGTGCTGTATTCATTAAGTAGTGAGAGTTGGTAAATGTCATGGCTTTTGTTTCCCTAAGGAGCTTTACAACCACTGGTCTCAGTATAACTGATATTTTGGTAATGAAAATACTGCATATTAATATTTCCTTACTCCTGTTTTTATTGTAAAATACACATTCAAAAGTGTACAAGATATGCAGTCTAACAAATAACTACAAAGCAAATACATGTGAGACACTCAGATTAGAAATAGAACATTATTACTGATAATTGACACTATGCGTACCTCTTTCTTGTGTCTTCTTTTGGTAATCATTTTCATGACTTTGAGATAATACATTTTTGTTTATGTGTTATAGCATTTGTGCATATTTCTAAAGATGAACTTGACATTATAATTTTTACATTATTGTGATGCAGTATTTTGAGTTTCATTCACTTTTTTAAAGATATGTGTGAGATTCATCCATTGACTGGCTGCAATTTATTTTTTATTGGTGTATTGAATTCCATTTTATGGATATGCCACAAGTTACTATATTCATGAACATTTGACTTGTTTCCAGGTTCTGGAATTTCTTGCTGTTACAGCTAAGTGTAACTTGGTGGTGCATGTCTGTAATCCCAGCATTCCAGAGGTGGATGCAAGAGGATCAGAGTTCAGTGTCAATCTGAAGCCCATAGTGAGTTTGGACAAAAATAAAATGACACATCCCCTCAAAAGACAGTGTAGGTGCAAGCATTCTCAGTCATGCCTCCTGATACCCATTTTCCTATATTTAAGTGGAAACAGTACCCATTGTCACCACCTGTTTCCCAAGTGATGGTTCTAGTTTGCGTAATTATGAAGCTGTTTCCTGTTGCCCGGAGTCTTCACCAACACTTGATATTAATAGTATTTAAAATTTTTCCCAGTCTGATGATTATGTAACAAATGGTGTCATATTGTGGTTTTAATTGCGTTCCTTTGGTTTCTGAGTATCTTTTGTATTTCCTCTTTTGTGGTGTACCATCAGCTCAAAAGAGCATGCAGTGTTAGGTTACCTATCTTTTTTCTCAGTAACTTATGTGTATGTATACACATATACATGTGTGTATATGTATTGTTTCTTTTTTGTTGGTTTGTTTGTTTTGTTTTTCGAGACAGGGTTTTTCTGTGGTGTTGGAGGCTGTCCTGGAATTAGCTCTTGTAGACCAGGCTGGTCTCAAACTCACAGAGATCTGCCTGCCTCTGCCTCCAAGTGCTGGGATTAAAGGCATGCACCAACACTGCCTGGCCATGTATTGTTTCTTTGTTTCTATTCTTTCAGATACCTTCTGTCTCATAGGTTTTCTTTTCCTTTTCTAATATAGTAATAATAGTGTGAAGCACTGCATACACAGTAGATCTGCAAGTATTTATCAGAAGATGAGAAAGCTGAAGGTAAAGAGAATGGCTTGGTTCCACTTCAGTCTCACCTTGAGAATTACCTTCTTCAGTCTGTGACGGCAGGCAGCTTCCTTTTGTGTACTTCTTGCTCTTGGCTACTTTAATATCAAAATCTGGGGCTGAACTTTTGGGTGGCAGCAATGAGCACAGGCACTCAGGGACCTCTCTGAATGGAAGGCCGAGTGTAGTCAAAGAACAAGGCTTTAGTTCTGGTATGTGAAGTAGAGGTGAGAAATATAGAAGCCTGGCCCAGAAGAAGCAGGTCCTCAGAGATATATAGGTAGGTAGGTAGATAGATAGATAGATACATACATACATATGTAGATACTGACTCATTATAATAGAGTACAAGACAATATATTAGGGGAAAATAAAGCTGTTTTTTAAAAATGTATAGTTTTGCTTTCATGTGGGTTTGAGTATTTAAAGGAGAACTGTGATCAGTTGCTTCTTGGCCTTTTGGATAACATCAAGTGTAGAGGAGAATTACAAACAGTATGACATGTTGTGAGTTTAGAGAAAGAAAGTGGTTTTAGCTAGCTAGCGGCATGACACCAGGAATGGTTTATTGGAGAAAGTGGTATTTGAGGCATACTTTGAAAGATGGGAAGGATCGAATAGGATGGTATGATGTTAGATACATCTCTATGCTGCCATAGCAACAATCACTATGCATTTATTGTAACCCAAAATATTTGTTACTATGTCAGTGTTAGGTCTGTTTTCTCTGTGTTATAAACTCTTAATAAGTCTAGTAGTATGTTAGTCTTCACTGTGTTCCAGCACCTAGCACAGGGCCTATTGGATAATTGACACACAAAATACTTGATAAATGTATGATATGAAGTGTATTAATTTTATCTAATAACCAGGCTGAAGGAGTGATAAGGAGATTGTATTATAGAATATCAGTATTTATGTTGGGACTAAGTTCAACTACATAAAGTAACGGAATAACTTGCAATCCTAAACTGGCAGCAGTCCATACAGGATGGATGATTATTTCTCCCTCATGTTAATAATGTCTGAATGTAGGCAGTTTAAGATTGGAGGAAACATGAAGGTTTATCTTAGGTCTTGATAGCTCCTCTCTGCTATCTTTGTTACAAACTGAGATGGCCGGTGAAGTCTAGCCAGCATGTTTTTGTTTTTTGTTTTGTTTTGTTTTTTGTTTTGAGACAGGGTTTCTCTGTGTAACAGGCTGGTCTGGAACTCATTTTGTGGACCAGGCTGGGCTAGAACTCACAGAGATCCACCTGCCTCTTCCTTTTGTACCATCACTGCCTGGTTTAACCAGCACTTCTGATGTCTAAGATAACAGACATAGCAGTGGAAGACACACCCCTCTTTTTTTAAGGCATCTCTCTAGAAGCATTTATTCCCATTTAGATTTCATGGAGCAGAACTCAATCATTTCTCCAAGCTAGTATGACAAACTAAAAGGTGACATTTTGTTACCAAGGAAGAATGGTAGAGTGAATATTGAAGTTTTTGTCCTGATTACCCTTACAGCCCTAGCTGTGTCATGTTGTGTAATTCAGTCTTGGTTTCTTAACATGAGCATAATTCATGTTCCCCTCCCCACCCTTGCAGGGAGAGGGGACTATGGTAAAATAGAAATAAGCTCATACATACAGCCTAGAACAGTATGCATGATCTTATAAGCTCTCAGAAACTGATAAGCTCTTATTATTGTAGAAAGCTAATTCTGAGTTCAGTTCCGGGCAAATTAGTCTGGCAGCAGTAGATGTTCTGGACATTAAGCTTTCTTTGGTGGAAACTGTTCAGCCCCCTCTCCTTCTGTTCTTTCTCCCTGCTCTACTCTGCTGAGTTGATAAACTTGTCTTCAGAGAAGAGGTTCCTGTATATGTCAGTGTCCTGCTGGCACCTTATACATTGGCTACCCAAAACATAGCTGCCAGGTCTATTTTAGGTTTGAAGGTTTAGCTGTTGTTCTCTTTAGATTCTGTTTTATACTGTAACTGAGGGAAGTGTTTTTTTTTTTTTTTTTCCCCCAGAAGTCAAGGGGTGATGGGAACAATTTATTCTTTACTTTCTAGGTAGAGAAAAGCCTTGGTTACTCTAGTAGATAGTGATGGAGAGAAGTTTCTACAGGTACCCTATTCTTCTAGGACTTTGGGTCTTTATGAACTTTGTCAGGGTATAAGTTGGGTTGAATTGCAGATTCTTACTCAAGAATTGTAGAAAGTAAAAATGCTAACATTTGTATGGAGATGTAAAATTAAAGAAGAGATTAAAATTTGTTGAATTTTGAAACTCTTCTGGAGATAAAGGAAAAGAAAGTAATAGCTGCCATTTATTTGGAAATTTGAATATGGATACATTTCATGTTTTTACACTTGATCCTCACTCTAGCAAGCTGTGTTGCCATGATTCCCATTTTACAGAAGTGGGAAGGATACTTAAAGAGGTTGAATTTGCCAGGCCACACAGTGTCAATGCACAATCACATTTTTTTACCACAAGGAGAATAAAAGTTTATTCCAGAGCCAAGTAAGAGTGACCATTGCCCAGGAACACAGATTCAACTTGCTCTGAACACCTTACTCCAAGATGGTCATGGAGTAACAGAACAAAGTCAATAAAATTGTCTTAAAAATCCATTGGTGGGAGCATCTGGTCCATAGGTTATAGCAAAGTTAAGAAGTTTCTGCTACAGACCTCAGATGCTATTTGATAATATTCTTAGCCTTTGGATTTGTAGAAATTAAAGTTTGTATGTTCCAAAAAAGATTTTGTCTGATAGTCACAAGGATGCTGGTTCAAATACAGGGATGGGCAATAAGTAGCTATTTACAGGGTTAAAGAAAGCACAAAATGATTTGGCTTCAAAGTAGCAACATTCCAGCTCTCCACAATCACAGGAGTTCTAATGAGTCCATCAACCTTGTAGAGTATTTAACAGTTGGG